AAATAACTGACTTTTATTGTTTTAGGTTAAGAGTAATTAATCCATTACTTCTGATGTACAAAAGAAAGTTTATTGGTGGGTAATTTTTAAGTAAAATATATTTTGTTGTTTAAAAACAGGGGGGGCCAGTTTTTTCTTTGGAGGGAACAGGGTTTGAACACAACAAACCTGCAGATTTGACGCTTTACTGCACAAATCCAAACGCCGCAGAGCTGTAGGATGTGGAAATCCAATGCTCTCTGTATCAGCTCCCACCCAGCTTCACTCTGGGTCCCTTTGTGGAGCAGGCTTCTCATATCTTTGTCTCAGGTTATCTGAGTAAGGACAGTGGATTTGGTTCTGGATGTAGGAGAACCTGGGTAGCAGGTGAGGAGTCGGAGAGGGTCAGAGAAAGTGGCTGGACTGGGAGGCCAGCTCACAGAGAGGGTAAGCATGTGGTCAGTGGCCAAGCTGCCCCTAGAACTGAGGACTCTTTCCTCAACCTGGTGCTCTTTCTAATGCTCCAGTGCACCAGAAGCAAGGACATCACACACAAAAAGCCAACGGTAAAAAGAGTACCCAGTGGGACAGCTCATCACTTGTGCCGTCTCGGCCGGGAAGGCGTGGAGACACTTGGGAGACTGAGGTTTGCTTGTTGTTCCATTTGTCATGGCAGGTATGTCAGTTGCATACAGGAGCTGGAATGGGCTCCGCCCAGGCTCTCCAGGACCATCCTCTGTCCCCTAGTCCTTCTCTGTGTTCCACCTCTTCCAAGGGCAGAGGGGACATACCTTCATATGTCAGAGACCTTACTAAACATATCTTTGTGCTACTCAGCAGCATCCTCTCTGTTAGGGACTGAATTGTGTCCCCCATCCCTGCCCCAAATTCATATGTTGAAGCCCTAACCCCCACTGTGACTATATTTGGATATATGGCCTTTACAGAGGTAATTAAGGTTAAATGAGGTCATAAGGGTGAGTCCTAATCCCATAGGACTGGTGTCCTTGTAAGAAGAGAGACACTGGGGATGTGCACAGAGAAGAGGCCCTGTGAGGACACGGCAAGAAGGCAGCTGTCTGCAAGCCAAGGAGAGAGGCCTCAGGAGAGACCAAACCTGCTGGCACCTTGAACTTCCAACTTCCAGACTGAGAAAATGAACGCCTGTTGTTTAAGTCTCCTTGTCTGTGGCATTTTGTTATGGCAGCCTGAATTGATTAATCCATTCACTTTCCTACAACTGGGAACTTTGCATTGTGAATACCTTGGGACCCATAGAAGGGAAGAGCTGGGTAGGGGAACATGACAGCAGGTACATGCATGTGTGAGGGTGGTTGCTGGCAGAGGTGTGCCAGGGGTCAACCTCACTGGCTACCACTCAGTGGATGGGATTGGCTCCTGGGGAGGCCCCTGGCCCCTCCACCACCTGCTTCTTGGCACAGCTGCTTCCAGAGGCTGATCACAGCAAGGGCTGAGGTCCCAATGTGCCGACAAAGGGGGGAAGGAGGCCAGGAAAAGGCCACAGGCCCCGATAGGACCCAAAGTAAGACGCCAGGGGAGGGAGACCTTTGGAGGAATTTAGATTTAGTAGTTTTCCATCAGGGGAGGAACCAGAGTTGACGAAGCAGCCCATCTCCAGTCTCTTCCTGTACTTTTCACCCCTCTCCCTCCTTCCTGGTCACCTCTGCAGGAAACCCCGTGGTTCTCACTGTTCTTAGAATAAGACCCAACCTCTATGTAGGGCCTGACCCCTCCAGATCTGGCCCCTACCCGCTCCCTGCCCACCCTAGGCCACAGTCTAGGGCGTCAGCCCCGGCACTCCCCGCCAGGCCGACTCATGTGTCCTCCCTCTGCTCAGGACCCACTGACTCAATTCTGTGCGGGCTCCTTCTCATCATTCTGGTTGCAGCTGAGAGTCCCCTCCTCTCTGTTTCTGTCCCATCGTCCTGTTTCTCTTCCTAAGCCTCTTATTTGCTTACTTTTTTTTAAAAAAATTATTTATTTATTTTTGGCTGCATTGGGTCTTTGTAGCAGTGCATGGGCTTTCTCTAGTTGTGGTGAGCAGGGACTGCTCTTCGTTGTGGTGTGCAGGGACTGCTCTTCGTTGTGGTGTGCAGGCTTCTCATTGCGGTGGCTTCTCTTGTTGTGGAGCACGGGCTCTAGGCGTGCGGGCTTCAGTAGTCGTGGCACTCAGGCTCAGTAGTTGTGGCACATGGGCTTAGTTGTTCCGCGGCATGTGGGATCTTCCCAGACCAGGGCTCGAAACTGTGTCCCCTGTATTGGCAGGCGGATTCTTAACCACTGAGCCACCAGGGAAGTCCCTTTGCTTACTTTAAAAAAATATTTATTGATTGATTGATTTGGCTGCATTGGGTCTTAGTTGAGGCATGTGGGATCTTTGTTGTGGCATGTGGGCTCTTTGTTGCGGAGTGCAGGCTTCTCTCTAGTTGTGGTGCACAGGCTCCAGAGCACGGGGGCTCAGTAGCTGCAGCATGCAGGCTTAGTTGCCCTGAGGCATGTGGGATCTTAGTTCCCCGACCAGGGATTGAACCTGCGTCCCCTGCATTGGAAGGTGGATTCTTAACCACTGGACCACCAGGGAAGTCCCAAGATTCATTTATTTGTTTTCTTAAAGAATTTTTACCCCCTTTCTTTCCTATACAAAGTTTCCTTATCTTGTAATTTTTTTTTTTTTGAAGGGAGGTCTGTCTCTGCCACTAGAATGTTTGCCCATTAACCCCATGCTTGATTCAGTCCCTGGATATTAGTTGAAGGCACAGGCATGTTGGGTACTTCCTACCTTAACTTACTGAATCCTCACAATGCCCTGTAAGGCAGATGTTGTTTGAATTCTGCCATCCCTCATCCATAATTCTGAAATCCAAAAAGCTCAGGAACCCAAAATGTTTTTCTTAAACTGGGTGCGACATCTGACTTGAACAGCTGTAAGGCTTTTCATGGTCTTTATCTCACTTAGTTTGAATGGTCATTCTGTCTTTGCAGCAATGTTAATGTATCTGGTTTTGGGGTGCTGTCCAATGCCCCAGTGGGAGCACTGAGCAATGTACTATTTGCTGGTTGTCTATTGCTGTGTAAAAAACGTTAGCAGCTTAAAACAGTAAACATTTATTATGTCAGACAGCTTCTGTGGGCCAGGAATGTGGAGATAGCTTAGCTGGGTGCTTCTGGCCCAGGGTTTCCCGTGAGGTCACCGTTAAGATGTGTGCTGGGGGTGGTCCCAAGGTAGCTCAATTACTATGGTGGGGAAGTTGATGCTGGCTACCGGCATGAAGTCTCATGTCCTCATCACATGGACCTCTTCACAGGGCTACTTGAGTGTCTTCACGATACGACAGGTGGCTTCCCCCTAGAGGGAATGCTCTAAGAGAGGGCGAGGCAATGTCTTTTGTGACCCAGCTGCAGAAATCACTCCATCATTTCTGCAATATCTTCTTGCTTACACAGGTCAGCCCTATTCACTGTGTCAGAGGGTGAAATCACAAGAGCATGAATCCCAGGAGTGGGATCCTTTCTGGATGTTGGCTTCCCCAATTGTATGTACCTATCTCAAATCCAAAGATTCTGAATTTCGAAGTACGTGTGACCCCCAGAATGTTAGATGAGAGACTGGGATGCCCATTTTACAGGTGAGAACCAGGTTCAAGGGCAGTTGAGTGACATGTGGGAGGTTACAGTTACATCAATAGCAATGACGACTATCTCTAACAGCTCTGGGGCCAGTGCTACTTGGTTTTCTCCATCACTGCTCCAGCCAACAAGAGTGTGTCATTCCTAACCTTAGTCACATGGACTGTGGGCTCGCAGGGGCAGGCACTCTGTACTCCATCCTCTAATCCCTACAGCACACCTATGGGGTAAGCGGGGCAACTGCCTTTGACCTTCCCTCTGCAGCGGAGGAAGTGTGAGCTGTCTTCGCTTATACTTGTCTGATTCTACCAGCCTGCGGGTGTCTCGCTGGGCTCAGCCCAAGCTTGGTATGGGTTACAAAAATGGGAAAGGGCCTCCCTGGTGGCGCAGTGGTTGAGAGTCCGCCTGCCGATGCAGGGGATACGGGTTCGTGCCCCGGTCCGGGAGGATCCCACATGCCGCGGAGCGGCTGGGCCCGTGAGCCATGGGCGCTGAGCTTGCGCATCCGGCAACGGGAAAGGCCACGACAGTGAGAGGCCCACATATCGCAAAAAAAAAAAAAAAAAAAAGGGAAAAAACGCCATGCTGCTCTCAGGGGATCTGGCGAGGAGGGCAGCTCTGGGCAGGGGCCGGCAGAGGAGTCTGTGGGAGGGAACCTTTGAAAGATCACAGGTGTGCTTGGGCATCATTGCCGAGGACACTCAGACTTTGAAAAAGAAAATAGCCGTGGAGCCACGGAAAAACCCTCGGAGTTGGTCTGGGGAGCTGCGGGGAAGGAAAGAGATGGAGAAACGAGGACGGGAAAGGGCCAGCTCCCTCCTGCCTTCCGCCCTTAGAATAGTTCTTGCGACCTTAGAGAGGGGATGCGGGGTCTGAGCATGCTCAGCATCTCGCTGGGCTCAGCTCGTGGAAGGTCGCCGTTTTCCTGGTGTTCGGCTTGGCCAGCCGGCCTGCAGACCGGGGATTCGGACCAACGCTCGGGGCTAACACTTGGGGTCGTCTTTGGCCTCTTCTTTCCCTTCCATCAGTAACTACATCGCAGGCCGTTTGACCCCTCTCCTCGCCCGGGCCCGAGTCTCCGAAAGCTCCCCGACTCAAGGCGATGGGGCGGGTGGGACACGCCAGTCACCCGCGGGCGGAAAGGCCGCGGGCCCCGGGCGGGATAGGACTGGGGCGGGGCCAAGTTCCCGGCGGCGGGCGGGGCCTGGCATCTCGGCGGGGGGCGGGGCTTGGCCTTTCGGCGGGGCGGGCGGGCCCGGGATCTCCGCGGGGGGCGGGGCGCGCCGGGAAAAGTTCCGGGAAGGTGGGCCTCCCGCCCAGGCCCGGCGCGGAAGTTGCCGGTGGTCAGTGCCCTGTTGGCCAGGCCCGCAGCCATGTCGTCTGGGAACGCGGGGTCCGGCGGGCGGGAGGGCGCCCCGCGCGCTGCTGCCGCGCTCTGCGGCCTGTACCACGAGGCGGGGCAGAGGCTGAGGCGCCTGCAGGACCAGCTGGCCGCCCGGGACGTCCTCATAGCGCGCCTCCGCGCCCGTCTGGCCGCGCTCGAGGGGGACACGGCGCCGTCGCTCGTGGACGCGCTGCTGGAGCAGGTGGCGCGCTTCCGGGAGCAGCTGCAGCAGCGGGACGGCGGCGCCGCGGAGGCCGCGCTGCGCCAGGTGCGGGGCGGAGAGGCCGCAAGGGGGCCGCGCGAGCCACGCTTCCTCGGCGCGCGGGCCGCGTGTCCGCCGTGTCCCCGGAGGGTGTGCGCCCGTCGGGCGTGAGGGCTGCGTGGTCTGGTTGGGTCTGAGCGGTTTGTGTCTGGGGGCTTCTGGGCGGGTGCGCGCCGCGTTAGGCGTAAGGGCTGTGCGTCGTGTCGGGTTCTGAGGGTGTGTGTCTGGGTTGTGTTCCGAGCGGTCTGCTCCCGCGTTGGGTCTGAGGGCTGTCTGCCTGTTTGAATTCTGAGGGGCTTGTGCTCTTGTGTTGGGTGTGAGGAGTGTGTGCCTGTTGTGTTTTGAGGGCTCTGACCCTTGTTGCGCTTGAAGGGCTGTGTATTGCTGGCTCGGGTTCTGAGAGGTGTGTGTGACCCTGTTGGTTTTGAGGGTTGTGTGTCCTTTCCGGTTATAAGGGAGGTGTGTCGAGTTGAATCTGAGGGGTGTGTGCGCGTGTTCGTGTGTGGGCGGTGTTACCATGTTGGGTCTGAGGGGTGTGTAGTCCATGTTGGTTATGAAGGGTGTGTTTGCTCCAACGTTGGGTCTGAGGGGTGGGTGCGGCCGTGTTGGGTTCTTAGTGTTACATGTGTCTGTGTTATTTCTGACGTGTGTATTTGTGTGTTGGCTTCGGAGGGGTATGTGTGCCTGTGTAGGGTCTGCTGGTTGTGTGTCCATGAAGGTTCTGAGGAGCGTGTGTGCCCGTGTTGGGTTCTAGGGTGTGCTTGCACCTATCTTGGGTTCTGAGGGGTCTGTGCACTTGTGTTAGTTAAGGGCTGTGTGTCATGTTGGTTCTGAACCCACATTGGGTTCTGAGGGTTGTGTGTTTGGGTTATGTAGAGGGGTCTGCTCCCTCTTTGGCTTCTGAGGGTTGTGTCTGTCTGTGTTGGTTCTGAGGGACGTGTTTGTGTTGAGTTCTGAGTGTTGTGTGGGCTCACGTTGGGTTCTGAGGGATGTGTGTGCCTGTGTGGGTGTGAGGCATGTTTTGTCATTGTCGGTTCTCGGGGTGTACCTGTCTGTTTTGGTTCTGAAGGCTTTGTATTTCTGTGTTGGATCTGAGGGGTGTGTGTCTCTGTGTTGGGTTGATGAGTGTGTGCCTATGTCGTGTCTGAGTGTGTGTTGCACATATTGGATCTCAAGTTTTTGCATCCGTGTTCGGTTGAGGAAAGTGTGCCATGTTGGTTCTGAGGAGTGGAGTCCTTGTTGGTTCTCAGGGTGTGTGTGTTCGTGTTGTGTCTGTGGGTTATGTGTCTGAGTGGTTCTCAGTGGTGTGTCTGTGTTGGGTGTTGAGGGGTGTGTGTCTGTGTTTGTTCTGAAGGGCTTCTGCATGTGTTGGGTTCTGAGCAGTGTGTTCCTGTATGAGTCTGAGGAGCATGTGCCCCGCTGGTTTCTGAAGGGTGTATGCCTCCATGTTGGGTTCTGAGTGGTGTGTGTGTGTGTGTGTGTGTGTGTGTGTGTGTGTGCGCGCACACACACCTGTCTTGAGTTCTGAGGGTATGTGTGCCTGTTTGGACTCTGAGAGGTGTGTATGTGTGTTGGGTTCTGAAGCTTGTCTGTCTCTGATGGTTTTGAGGGTTGTGTGTGTGCAGGTGTTAAAACTGATGGTTGTGTACCAGGTGAGTTAAGAGAGGTCTGCTCCCATGTTGGGTAGGAGGGGAATGTGTGCCTGTCTTGGGTCTGAGGGTTGTGTGTCTGTGTTGAGTTGTGGCGTGTGTACCTGTGTGGTATATGAGGTGTGTGAGCACTTGAATTGGGTTCTGAGGGGCATGTCCACCTGTGTTGGGTCTTGTTTGTGCCCATTTTGGGTTCTGAAAGATGTGTGTGCATGATCAGTTCTGAGGGGTCTGTTGCTGTGCTGGGTTTTGAAGAGTGTGAATGTCTACATTGGGCTCTCAGGGGTGTGTGTGGGTCCATGCTGGGTCTGAAAGGTGTGTGTACCTTTCTGAGGGGTGTGCGCCTGTGTTGGGTCTTAGGGATGAGTGTGCATGTTATTTGTATTTGGAGTGTGTGTGCACCTGGAAGGTTCTGTGTATGTGTGTGTTCATGTTGAGTTCTGCATTGTGTGCGCAGACATTGGGCCTGGGTGTGTGTGTAGGACATGCATATAGGCTCCTGGTGTGTGTGTCTGAGTTGGGTTCTTGGGTATGTTTGTGTTGTGCTGGGTTCAGGGCCACATGAGCCATAGTTATGTTCTGGATCTCTTTTAGCCCCAGCTGTGAATGTATCTTTCACTAGTAGCACTCCTGCTCTGTGGGAGTGATGACAGAGTGGGAGCCTGCCAGAGTGTCTGATAATAGACTTAAATCCTTACTTTTCCTCCTTCATATACTTGTCAGCGATATTATGTCTATCTGTGTGAAATATTAAACACCCAGATCAGGAGCGAGAGTAACAGTATTTTTCTACAACAGTTTGGAAGTGCTCCAAACATTTTGGTGAACTCTGGTCTATTATCCCATTCGGTGCATAGCTATTATCTGGGTTTTCCCAGGAAAGAAATTAGGCCTGCAAAGGACAATTTTCACTTCCAGGCTTGACCCTGCAGCCGGATTTTAGAGTGAAAAAGAGGCACGCCTTTTTTTCTTTTAATAAAAGTAATTTTGAATATCTGAAAAATAGAGGAAAGAATAAAGAATAGAATAAGCACCACAATCCCACCACAGAGAGATGACCACAGAGCATAATCTCTTGGCATGCCTCTTCCCTGTCTTTCATTTAACCATAGGGTATGTATCCACTTGGCGTGTTTGAGTTCAAGCTGTCTATACAGTTTTACTTAATATCATGTCAATATTTTCTTATCTGCATCATTTTAAATGCCTTTAGAAGCCAGATGTCTTCCTCGCTCCAGCTCTCTCCCTTTTCCTGGGCAAAGTGGATTATTACTCATCAGGGCAGAAGGAAGTCACCTGGTCTGCACCACTGATCTTAGTGTCATGGACACCAGGAGCCATAGATGAGTGTAGATTGGGGACCAGAGCACATCCTACCCAGAACAGGACTCTGCTTGCAGTCTGGTGGCCATTGGTGCTCAGTTGACATGTGTCCCCAGCATCCTGTGGCCCCAGAGCCTCTAACCAAAACCCAGACAGAGCCGGGTCTGTAATCCTAGTACTACTGGTCCTTTCAGCGTAGGTTTTTTTTTTTCTGTGTTGGGTCTTCGTTGCTGTGCGTGGGCTTTTTCTGGTTGTGGCGAGCGGGGGCTACTCTTCGTTGCGGTGCGCGGGCTTCTCGTTGCAGTGGCCTCTCTTGTTGCGGAGCACGGGGTCTAGGAGTGTGGGCCTCAATAGTTGCAGCGTGCAGGTTTAGTAGTTGCGGCATGCAGGCCCTAGAGCGTGCAGGCTTCAGTAGTCGCGGCACACGGGCTCAGTAGTTGTGGCACACGGGCTTAGTTGCTCCACGGCATGTGGGATCTTCCCGGACTAGGGCTCAAACCGGTGTCCCCTGCATTGGCAGGCGGATTCTTAACCACTGAGCCACCAGGGAAGCCCCTCAATGTAAGTTTTGTTTTAGGATTTTAAATTATTTCAGGAGCAATTGAATGATCTGATATCTTATGCAATTAAATATTTGTTGCTTTACCCCTACATCTTTCTGGGGTTGGTCAGAGCACCTGGGGAAGAATGGAGGCGTTTATCACCTCCCAGAGGCCCTGGATTCACTGAAGTGGCTGTGCAGAGTGAAGACAATGAGGGAATTTGGTCAACAGGTTGGTCTCACCAGTGGCCATGTCAGCCGGCTGGTTAGGAGCAGGGGCCCTGGGTTGGTGAGGGCTGAGGGCTCCCAAAGAGGATGCTGAGGCTCACAGGTGTGGATGGACTGCCAGGTGACCAGTGCATATGTGGCCAAGGTGTAGCCAGTGTGTGATGGGACCAGATCAGTCTTGAGAATTCTGGTCCTTTTCACCACCACGGTGGGACTCAAGACCTTGCCTTGTTTGTAACATGAGGCCTGGATGGATGACGCTGCAAAGCTCTAACAGTTAAGATTTTCTGGAATGATGGCACTGATTCGTTGTGCAGAGGCTGTAACTGCTCAGCCTCACCTCACCTTTCCCTATTCTGCCATGCTCTCTGTAAGTGGAACAGCATACACTCTTTACAGTAGGTTATAGTAGGTTTTGTGTGTGTGTGTGTATTGTGTGTTTATTGTGTGTTTGTTTTTACCATCTATCGTCATGCCTCTTTTGATCTTGTACAACTGAAACTCTATACCATTAAACATAATTCCCCACCTCCCTACTTTGTCCCCTACCGACCCCTCCCCACCCCACCACTGGCAACCACCATTTTACTTTCTGTCTCTATGATTTTGACTACTGTAGATACCTCCTATAAGTAGAATAATGCAGTATTTGTCTTTTTGTGACTGGTTTATTTCACTTAGCATGATGTCCTCAAGGTTCATCCATATTGTAACATGTGTCAGAATTTCCTTCCTTTTTAAGGCTGAATAATACTCCATTATAGGTATATACCACATTTTGCTTATCTACTTATCTGTTGATGGACACTTGGGTTGCTTCCATGTTTTAGCTCTTATGAATATCACTGCTGCTATGAACATAGGTGTGCAAATATCTCTTCGAGATCCTGCTTTCAATTCTTCTTTCCAGAAGTGGAATTGCTGGATTATATAATAATTCTATTTTTAATTTTTTGAGGGGCTTCCATTCTGTTTTTCCGCAATGGCTGTACCACTTTACATTCCCACTGACAGTGCACAAGGTTCAAATTTCTCCACATCCTCACCAATATTGTTATTTTCTGTGTTTTTGACAGAAGGCATCCTAATAGGTGCATGGTAATTTAGTACAAAATGATTGTAGTTTTGATTTGCAATTCCCTATAAGGATTAGTGATGTTGAGCATCAATTCATGTGCTTACTGGCATTTGTATATCTTCTTTGAAGAAATGTCAAGTCCTTTGCCCATTTTTGAATTGGGTTATTTTGTTGTTGAATTTTATGA